CGCTGAAACTGTTAGTTAGACAGAGGAACAACAGCAATGCATGGGGGGATCCAGAGAAAGGGCCCATCTGTCTTGCTTTTTAGGATGATTAGGGAAAGTATTTGACTTGGCCAGTATGGGAAATCACACGGCCGAGAGAACTGCAGTGCTGAGGCTGACTGCCTGGCAGCGGCATGGAGGTGGGGAACAGGGAAAAGGCAATGAACTGAAATCGTATCCTCTCTTCCAGTGACCAGAATAAAATCCATAGCTGGACACAGCCCATGCACAGGTAAGAAATAAATCTGCTTATCCCCAAAATGCTGAACAGCTCCTGATGCAGCCGTGCCTCCTCGCCTGCAACAAGGGTCCCATCCTGCTGCTCCTGGGTGCAGGCCTTTCCCTCATGCTGGGCTAAAATGTCCCTGACCGGTTTGCATCCTCATTTCTCTGCATAAGTGACTGCATTTTCTGTACTTACACCTTTTCCAGTCCATGAATCGTTAGCCAATATTGGACAGTTTGAATTGGTTTCTTCTTCACTTTTTCATGGAAGTGTTGAGTGTTGTCAAGTTAGATTCATTATTGAGGAGTGAATACTTTATATCACCATCAGCAATGAACCATGTGCTGTAATCAGACAGACATCAATGCGATTTATTTTAATTATATTTATTTCCTGTAATTTTTTATTCATTGAGTCCTTTATCAGCTGTTCCACATTTTTACCAAGGATCAGTTTCAAGATGTAAATCAGTAACAATATTAGCCTTATAAATACTTGGCTCTCCCAGTTTGCACTTTTAAAATACTGGCACAACTTCAGTTCTCTTCCAGTCTTCTGCAACTTCCTCAGCACTTCAGTGTCACTGAAAATAATGGTGATTTAAAGAGCTTTTTGGCCACCTCTTAAATTCGATGAATATGCTGGCAGTTCTGTGATGTTCAGCCAGGGTGCATCACAGTGGGGATGCAGATTTTGCCATGGATGTTTTACCGCTCGGTTCCCACATGGAGCATTAATGATGCCCATGTCGCATTGACCATGACTTTGCTGGTGTCCCAGTTTGCTGCTCTACCAACACAGGTAGAATAAGGGATCCGAGAATAAAACAGTGACGAGCTCCTGACAAACAAAGCAGCTCATATCACTACATTGCAAAAATCACTTTGACAATTTGTCAGTCTTACCTCACCGCAGCAGTCGCTGGAACTAATAGTCATTAATTACCTTTGTCAGGTGAAATGTCTTTAATTGCCTGCAACTTTACTTCCAGGAAACTCCCACTTTCAACTGCCGCTGCCAGTTTAAAGGCCACGTCTCCCCGCAGTAATTTGAGGAAAACTCCAGGAAAATTAACAGGGAATGAAGTGATGCATGGCCCACCTCTAGCTGTGCAGGATCAGTACGTGTCCTGGAGTCACCTGCCTGACCTGCCTGCATCAAGAAGAAAGGTCAATGGGATGGGGGTGGAGGAGGAAGGTGGTCAACCAACCTGTCATGTAATCCAAGGGCATTCTTTTGTGACCTTTTCTTCTCTCTAAAAAATAAAGGAAGCACAGTAGCAGACTACCTGGAGAGCTGCTGCTCCTTGAACCTTGACAATATGCATTCAGCATTGCAAGGAGACATTCAGCAGAGAGCATTCAGCATGCGCTGTTGTTGCCCTGGCTATCAAGCTCCCATACAGATGTTCGGTGAACTGTCAGAGCATCAAGAGGAAAATAAATTAATTGTAAGTGGAAGAAGGTTACTTAAATCTTTTGTGGAAGTATTATATAGCCATTAAATTGCATAGAAAACTCAATAATAATGGGTAATAATGTTCTTTGAGCAATTAAAAGGAAGCCCGATTTATAATGCTGCTCAGCATTCAAACCAGAGTGTTCCACCTTCCTGGTACATGATAAACATTTACTAATTAATCCTCATAAAGCCTCGGTGAGGCAGATCTCTTCACACCACCAATTCTGTTTTATAAACGGGAACAAGAAGGTACAAGATACATCCTTTGAAGCTGGGGTTGTGTATGTCTTCGAACATGATTTGGGTCTGTGGGAGCCCACTCAGCATCTGTGTTTGAATAGTGAGAGGTTTGTAAAAAGCCTCGGAGCCAGGATCAGAAGTCAAGGTTTCTTTGTGCCCCTTCACTGTGCTCGGACCATCATGGCATGTTTCGATATGATTCTTCAGCACAGTCTCCAGAATACTGACATTTTCCCTGCATGGTCATATTACGTTGCAGGAATGGTATTTAGAAGAAAAGCCAACGGTCTTAGGTCTTGAGTAAAAGCTGTAGGAATTGGCCCATAACGCAGCTGCTAATTATGTCAAGATTCAAAAGAACAAAACTTACGACCAACTGGAAGCTGTTATTTGCAGAATATCAGTATGGATTGTATGGGATGCGGGTCGTCAAATAAATGTGGACATAACTTACGCTAGGATGGTGGACTATCCATGACTACAGACAAATTAGGATTATCTAGTGTAATTTTAAAATTCTCTCCTGTTTCCTTGTCACTGTTTAAGGCACGGCATGAATAAACACAGGGTGTAATGAAAGGGAGCTTCACCCCAGCACTGAGCTGCAGCAAATGTAGGGATCTTTCCCACTGACCTCAGTTTAATTTTTGTCTGCTTACACAGGATACTAATCTGAGTTTGCAGTTGATTCCACAGCCTGTGCAAGGATCCCACACAACACAGTTGTGCCTAACTTTCTGGTTAATCCATGCTTTAGTGTTTAAAGTGTTACCATAGTGGCCTAACAAGCAATCTCCTAATTTCAGGCACCACCAAGCTTAGCTGAAGGTCTGGATTGGACAAGGAAGCATTTTTTCCAACTTATTTTTGGCTGAACAACCCTTGACACAACAAAAGTAGTAAGTTCCCCAAAAAGAACAACTCTGCATTGGTGATGGACTGTCCAGAGAAAGCAATGCAACCTTTATATCCTCAGTAAAAAAAAACAGCTCAAGAGTTTATTACAATTTTTGATACTTTGGAGATGTCACTAATAATACTTCAAAATATGTAACAAAGAAAGAAAACGCTCTTTACTAGCTGTAGAGAGATTGGCCCATGGTTACCACAGATCAGACATTCTTTCAGGGGAGTTAGAAGATTGCTCCCATCCCACCCATCTTCTCCTTGAATTAATTAACATTAAAACTATGATTTTATAAGACAAGACATGCTAGATAAATTCTGATTCGCTTGAAATTACTGAGAATTTGTCCATTGCTTTCAATGAGGGCAGGATTTTACCTAATATTTCTAACAGACTTTTATAAAATAGTGTTGAAAAAGATCTCAAGAGCCATCCTATTTCTCCTCTTGCCGCAAGGCAGGATCAACCACATCTATGTCAGTCCTGATGGATGTTTGTCTAACTGGCCCTGAAAGAGCTGTAACACTTGACAGCACCTTGGGCTCTGGTTCTATTTTCACCTGTCCCGAGATATGAAAAGAAAAAGAACTTTTATTACCAACTCTGCCAGGATTTTTGACTGGTTTAAAGGACCAGTGACAATTTTAACATCTGATGTCTCACAATCTGCTAAGGATAGGAACTAATCCTACCCACCCCCAGGGAGCTTTCCCATGATTTATTGACATTTTTCCCTTTTAGCTCTTCTTCTTGAGATATCTGACATGAAATCATGTCGTTCCGATTCCCATCTTGTCTTTTTCTCCACCATTTCAGTTCTGGTCTGTTTCAGTGACTGCCCCATAAGAACCGATAGTTAAAAGGAATGCTTTTCTTTATCTGAAGGCATGTCAGTCTTCCAGTGGTGCAGTATAAAGTGGATAATTCTAATTCTAGGAGTGAAATGCCAGCTACTATAATTATGTTGGCAACATGAAAAGGCAGGGAGGCAACAGAGCAATAACAAGCAGGCAGGACTGGAGCCTTAGAGGGGAAGAATAAAAGGATGGGTGGGCAAATGAAGAAATATTTAAGCCCCGTCCTTGCAGAAGAGCACCTTTATGGTTTGATCACGCTTCCAGAATGAAACATCACTGGTCATTAACGGCCCTTTGCCTGCAATCCAGTGCTCACAGAAACAAAGTGAGGTCTTTGCTTTGGTTTCAAGAAGACCTGAATCACACTCAGAAATAGTAAAACACAGCTCCTCATTGACAGGCAATTTGAAATACACTCCTTGCATCCCCTGCAACTACAGGAAACCTGCCCCACAGCTGCTCAAAACACATTTTATGGTTTAGAATGGGAAACACAGACACAAAGATTAACATTTACAGCTGGTATTTCTGAAAGTAAAGGTCTGAGGCAGATGCTCACACATAGCAGCCAGAGAATGAGAGGTGGATTTCCCATGCATTCTCTCTCATTCCAGGGTACACCATGCATTAAGCTTTCACAATAAATTTTTTTTAAAACTTGCTACACGGAATCCAATAGCAAACATCACAATTCATTGTTGATAAAGCATGTGAGAAAAGGCTTTGTACTTGGAGTCTGCTCTTAACCCTTACTGAGGGTTTTATTCCCCAAATACAAACACATGACAATCTCCACCAGCAAAAGACAACAGCCTTTTCAACCAAACCATAAAATATCTAGTTTCATATGTAATCACAAAATCTCCTGACATTAAAGGGTCCCAGCTTTGCACATGGGACAAAGTTGATTAGTGCTGTGAGTAACCAGCAGTGGCCAAACCAGAGTTTCAGATACGACTCCTTGCCAGAAGACTCCTCCACACCATTACCGCCACCAAACAGAAGGTCACTAGGAAGGTGGGAGGAAAGCAGCGGGGCACTGGAGGAAGAACTCTGCGCTGCTGGCCACAGAAACCCTCTCATGCTGTTTGCAGGAAAAATAGCAACTGACTTAGAGGATGGGATAGAGAGTCTGCGTAGGAACCTGGATCGTCCCTGGGACATATGACCCATGGGGATGCGTCTTGAGCTTTGAACCTCCTCAAGAATCTGGTAGGATTCATTGAGAGTCGAAATCAGCTTCCTGGGGCAGCGGGGAAGCTTTTTCTGCTCAGTGCTGTCTAAAGAATAGGTTCCTGAAGGCATTGTTGTAGTTTTTGTTGAAAGCAGTGTAGATGAGTGGATTAAAAAAGGAATTTGAATAGCCTAGCCATAGAAAAATACTCTTCCAAATGGGTGGGATGTCGCACGAGCAGAGGGGGTTGATAAGCTCCGTGATGAAGAAGGGGATCCAGCAGAGCACAAAGACCCCGATAAGGATGCCCACCATGAGGGCAGCTTTCTTTTCCTTCTGCTCTCTCCACGTGTCTCCGTCTGTCTGGAACGTAACGGTGGCATGACGGACAGTGAAGACCATCTGTGGCTGCTGGGCAGCTTCTTTTACCTGCCAAACACAAACACAAGTTGCACCATATGTGCCTCAGTCAGCTGATCCCACACAGCAGGTACACAACCAAACTATGCAAGTGATGGCCAGAGCTCACGGGGAAACGCGGGTCATCTACGTCACGGTCTAATTGAGGGGAGACCGGTTGTATGACCCTCTTCTGGGTAACAGAGACTATTCTTAAATGAGGCTAGAAACTAAACAGAGTAGTGATATATGGGCACCTGGAACTGCTCGCACAGCATTGCAATAAGATTATTTCCCCATTTCCAATCAGATCAGTAGAACCGGCACAGACCCACATGCTGTGCACAAAAGTCTCCTTGCCTTCTCTGAACCCATTGAGTTTAAGAGTCCTTGGTAGAAGAGGCAAGAAAATGAGCATACATTTTCTTCCTCCCCCCAAGAAGTCTTTACAGTACACAGTCACCGTGCCTGGGACGAACTGACACGATGCAGCCACGATTAGGAAGGATTTACAAGGACGTTCTGCACGTGTGTCTTCTGGGTGGGTAAATTCACAATCTGCCCAAAGCCACAGGTGCTTGCCACGTTATCGTCCCCAGCGGAGACGGGATCCCATCCATTCACGCCCCCGCATGCCTCCCCACGGGAGGAACGGTGACCCCTTACTCACGCTGGCAAGCACTGATTCAGCATTCCACGGGGGGATGTCTGTGAGTCACCGCACGCCCACGTGGAGCTCAGGCTTGCAATCTGGCCCAACGTTGCTTTAGCTACACCTTGCTTGCTCACAGCTGGGGACTCGGACAGAGTCAAAAGACTGGGCTTGTAAGCTTTGCCGTCAACTTTCCCCCGAAAGCCTCCAGGATTCACAGGGCTTTGGTGGGATGCTGTTTGCTTGCACGCTTTAGCTCGAAGTTTCCCCCACTGCTGCGAGGGCTTGGCTACTATCAGCCATTGACTAGAGCAAAATACAACCAAGTTGACCTACCTCCAGGGCTTCTGGTGTAATGGGGGTGATGGAGTTGCTCTTCCGAGATCCAATTCGAAACTTGGCGGCCTTGTAGATCTTCCAGTACACAAAGAGCACTACGCAAAGGGGCAGGTAGAAGGCACCAAAAGTGGAGAAGATGGTGTAGGAAGGCTCCTGGCTGACTTGGCACTCCTCACTGTCCTCTGAGTAAGTCTCTCCCCAGCCAAAGAGCAGCGGGGCCAAAGAGATGAAGGCAGAGAGTGCCCAGGTGAGGGCAATCATGATGTTGGAGATGCGGCGCCGGATGCGGAGCGTGTACTCCAGGTGACGAGTGATGGACCAGTAGCGGTCAAGGGCGATGGCCGTGACGTTCCAGATGCTGGCAGTGCAGCACAGCACGTCGAAGGAGATCCA